CTGTTTTCTTGTTCCTCCATAGTCATGATTACCCGGGGCTCCTCCATGGAGATGATGGTCTGGCCAGAGGGAGAAGGCAGAGTATGCCCTGGGCCCTCTCATTCCTGTAGGACTAACTGGTAGGATGGGTCTGAGCTCTGGGGCCTCCGCTTCAGAAGCCCTCTATGTTTTAAATGAATTGGTTAGACTATGACGAACTTACAGTTTGGGATTTTTCTTACAGAGAGTATATATGGTGGGGAAGGCAAATTCAGTTTTTGAAGACCTTTCAGTCACGTTACGGCAGCTACGTAATCGCCTGTTTCAAGAAAACTCTATTCTCAATTCACTTCCCCTCAACTCTCTGAGTAGGAACAATGAAGTGAGTATACAGTTGTTGAATGCATATCTTTTTTTTTTTCAGTACTAGGGATTGAACCCAGAACCTTTGCTCTGAGCTACATCTCCAGAGCCCTCCCCTACACCAGTTTTCTTTCTTTTTTTTTTTTTTTTTTTTTTTAAAAAAGGGTCTTGCTATATAGTTCAGGCCAGCTTTGTACTCACTATGTATCCCAGGCTGTCCTCCAACTCATTGTGATCCTCCTGCCTTAGCCTCCCAAGTGCGCCACCAGGCGTGTGCCACCAGGTCTGGCCCTTTTATTTTTTGAGATAGGGGTTTGCTGAGTTGCCTAAGGTAAGCTCAAACTTGCAATCCTCCTGCCTCAGCTTCCCAGAGTACTGGGATTACAGACCTGTGCCACTACTCCTGGCTATGAATATCATTATTGATTTCCCTTTCCTTTGCTACTTAAAATTTTAGAAATTTTAAAATGTGAGAAAAAATTGTGTAGATTTACTGCTGGAGTAGATTCTTCTTTCCATTGGTGTAATTTTCTTAATAATCTCATGAATGGACTTGCCCTCAGTGTGAGTTGAGCAGTGAGATAGTATTATGTTCTAGTGCAGGGTTGCTCCCTGTTAATCCAAATAGGGCAGACATCGCAGCATGGTCATGGCTGGTGGAACCACATAGACCTGGTAACTTGGGAGCCATTACGCACAGCCATGACCCTGCTGTGACACATTGTCCCATTTTTCTTTCCGGACACTGGTGGAGGGAGCCACCTCTGCTTTCGACTCTTCATCTTCGCCATCTGCTCATGCACCCAAACCACAGGGCATGCCGCTCTGTGGCCGCTTCCCCTCCTCCCTGTGGATGACCGGGCCACCATCTTTCACTCCAGCATGGAGCATGTTCAAGGGCAGTGAGCAACTGGTCCACAGCAGGGTCTCACCGCCCTGTGCCAGACACCCTGATTCCCCCGAGGGAAAAAAATATCACAGTTCAGGTGCTTTGTGTCACGGCCCTGGTGAAAGTAGAGCTCCTGAGAAGTAGTCGCTGTGCTAGGGATGGCCACCACCTTTTTGGTAGCAAGTGTTTTATGTGCTTTCTTGGGGAGGGGTGCTAGGGATGGAACCCACCGAGCGACACCCCCAGGCCCATGCATGCATTTTCAGTGGAAGTGAACCTACCAAAGGGAGGACAACTGTATGAATCACTTCCGTGATCAATGTTTGCAGTACCCCTTCCTTTCCTTGATAAATGGCAAATACAGATCTCTGATGCATATTTAAAGTGACGCTCACTTGTTTGGCTCTCTGAAGGTCGACCTGCTCTTCCTTTCGGAACTGCAAGTGCTCCATGACATTTCAAGTTTGGTAAGTAGGCTGCTCACATTTCCAGTTCCGTCTCAGTTGCTGGAGAACACGTGAGTGACAGTGGACCAACTGAAGTCTGACTACACGTGCCCCAGATTCATGATCCCGTGAAAGTTGAGAAATTATGGGGCTGGGGATTTAGCTCAGCGGCAAAAGCGCCTGCCTGGCAAGCGCAACGTCGTGAGTTCGGTTCCCGGTACCGGAGAAAAACCAAAAAAAAAAAAAAGTTGAGAAATTAGTGCTGGTGCTGGGAATTTTGAACTCGTGTCCTATTGACATCAGATATTTTGCATTTCTACTTTTAGGAGAGACAGTATATCCTCCGAGAACATAGGCCTGGGAGTGAAAACACCCTGGCTATAGTTCTGAGTTGGCCATTGATTTCTTGTCAGACAGTAAGACTTAATTCCTGCATCCATAGCTTTGGGGCGAAAATAGACAGAACAATTTGAACTAATAATACTGTCAGCCCAGTCAAGGAAGGAATAAATCTGAGCAGTATTTCAGTTGTTGTTGTTTGGTGAATGCTCTTTTTAAAAAAAATCATCCTTGTGGCTAAAATAGAAACTCTTACCTGTTTGCTGGCTTCAGAAGTTATTTCCTAAACTTTTGCAGCAGGCATTGACTGAAGGATTTTGAAGTTTAGCGCTGGGGGCCTTGGGCCATGATGTGGGAGGGCACATGGGAGGTAGACACCAATGGCTCATGAATTCCTGCTACCAAACTGGACCAGCCATCTGCTTTTTCATGCCCCGCCCCATATCTGAGTTTTTAAAACTAAGCAATTTTGTTAAGAGCTTTTCTTCAATATTTAGGGAGTTCTGTTAACTATCCCCCAAAATGAGATTTATCAGAAACTCCCATTAAACCAATATCTCTGTTACCATTTTAGACTGTTTGTGTGCTGTGGCACACTGGCCTGGTTCCATGATACTCTAGATAAGCAGTGGTGAACCTGTGGCACGCAAGCCACAGCCCGCTGTTCGTCATCATTGAAAGCTCTAAGAGGTTCGCCACCACTTCTGTAGATTATTTAGACATAAAACTTCACCTAGCTGGGTTTGACATCTTACTTCATCCACTGCCTTTGTTTGTGTTCCTAAGTTGTCTCGTCACAAGCATCTAGCCAAGGATCATTCTCCTGATTTGTATTCACTGGAGCTGGCAGGTTTAGATGAGATCGGGAAACGTTATGGGGAAGATTCTGAACAATTCAGGGATGCTTCTAGGATCCTTGTTGACACTCTGCAAAAGGTAAATGTGGCTGTGTTGTGGAGGTTGGGGTGCAACTGTTTCACTTATTGTTAGCCCTTTTAATGGAAAAATCTGTTTTGGAAACACTGTTGACTGAATTTATTTTTGAGGTTTGTGGTCCTGGGAATGGAACTCAGGGCCTCATGTATGCCAGGCAAGTGCTCTACCACTGAGCCACACCCCAGCACAATTGAAGTCTTACTTGGTTTCTTTGAGAGTCTAATTATAACAGCTGGGCCAGGGATATAGGTCAGCGGCACAAGCGCCTGCCTGGCAAGCACAAGGTCCTGAGTTCAATTCCCAGTCCCCCCTCTCAAAAAAAAAAAATTATAACAGCCAACAATAGAGTCAGGTCACAGGGGTAGGCTGGAATATCCATTCATCATGCTGGTAGGGGCAGCATTAGGAGATGACTGGTAACTGTGTAGCCCAGGCTGCCCTTGAACACACTATGTACCCTAGGTTGGCCTCAAACTTTGTCCACCTGCCTCAGCCTCCTAAGTGCTGGCATTACAGGTTTGAGACACCGTGCCCGGCCATTTCAGCTTTTTTTTTTTTTTTTTTTTTTTTGAGACAGGGTCTTGCTATGTAGTACAGGCTGGCCTTGAACTCACTTAGGTAGCCCAGGCTGACCTTGATCAAAATCATGGCAATTCTCCTGCCTCAGCCTCCCGAGTGCTGGGATTACAGGCATGCGCCACCACGCCTGGCATTTCAGCCTTTTTTATCTGTACAGTTCAGTAGTATTAGAATATTTACATGTTGTGTAACTACCAGTACCATGCACATCTGTAACTTTTTCATCTTCCCCAACTGAAACTATGTACCCACTAAACACCAGGAGAGGATAAGGTTGTAACCTAGCAGCGCAGTAGCAGACATGTAGTAGATGCGTAGTCAGTGCCTGCTCTCTTCCGAGTCATTCCACTGTAACTCTTCAGGGAGGCTTTGTGTGTAAATGTTTGTGATGAGCCCTAGACCGCTGAGGAGGGTGTCTTCATTTCCCTTTCCTGTTTCCCTTCCCCCAATTTATATGCCAACAAGTTCAGTCTATTAAGTAATTTTATTTTGAACACTGGAATATATATTAAAGCTTAACACTTTTCTAAATACTTTAACATAATCAAATCTTTAAGATTTGCTTATTTGAGCCAGGGATTTAGCTTGGCGCAGCACTTGCCTGGCAAGCGTGAGGTCCTGAATTTGATTCCAGTATCAAAAAAAAAATGGCTTAAGATTTGCATATTCAAGGACATGGTATATATCCTAAGCCAGTAGGTGAGTGTATATCGTTGTAGCTGCACAGAAGCTTTCCAAATAATTTAAGTACGTGTTTGACTCACCACAAAAAGTGATGTGTGAGAGGTAACGCATATGGTAATGAGCTTGACTGAGCCATCCCACAAGGTATACATATTTTAAAACAATATGCTGTACATAATAAATACCCATAGCCTCGGGTTCTACATCTGTGGAGTCAATCAACTGAATATTTGGGGAAAAACTGCATCTTGACTGAACATGTATAGACTTTTTTCTTGTCACTGCCCCCTGAATAATACAGAATAACAATATTTATGTAGCATTTACATTGTATTAGATGCTATAAGTAAGGCAGAGATGGTCTGGAATGTATGGGAGGACTGCATAGATACGGCACAAATAATGCACAGATTCATAGAGCGGCTCGAGCACCTACAGATTTTGGTATCTTTGGGGGGTCCTGGAACCGATCCCCATGGCGACTAAGGGACAAGTATGTGCAAATTATGTCCATTAAAACACAAATGAAAAAAAAAGTGTATATTTGGAATTCATAATGCTGGTGGCTCCCTTTCAGTTTGCAGATGACATGTACAATCTTTATGGTGGAAATGCAGTGATAGAATTAGTGACTATCAAATCATTCGACACATCTCTTGTGAGGAAGACAAGGACTATCCTTGAAACACAACTGGAGGTGAGTACATTTTTAGATCCTGCTTTAAAACTGTAAAATCAGCTTATTTCAAAAAAAATGAATCCTGTATCTTCTATAGGTGTCTTATTCATAGGTAATGATCTTTCCTGTGATACTGAGTTCTTTGGGGTTGCTATCACCCTGACACAAAAGTTTGGGCTAGGGATGTAAATCGGAGCTGGCTAGAGAACTCACAGATGGGCATACACGAGGAGATGGGAGGGTTCGTGCGAGGGAGCGGCGAGGTTCTACCGTGGACTCTGCTTTCTTAGGAAGTCTGTTATCTCTGCGGCACAGTCCTGCGCTTTCTGGGTTCCTCTGTGTAAACCTCTTTACAATGTTGCTTTACCTCAACAATTTTTTTAGTGTGGATCTTGCTTTGATTTTAAGTATTTAGAGAGTCAGAGGCAAGGGTGCCAGCCGTGGTAAAGTGGGTATGTGTACATAATCCTATACATGTATATACCTGGCTTCAGCACGCGGGTGCTGATGGAAACGAGTGGTGTGGAGACCCCGTGACACCTTGTGGCCATGAACACCGCCAGCAGTCAGATGCCAGTCACTCCTGTGCCCTCCCCTGTGGGCCCACGTGCAGCCCCCACCTTGCTCAGTGTCACTGATGGCAAAATGGGACTTGGAGTCGGAAGGTCAAAGCTAATGCCTGCTGAAGGTGGTCCAGAGCCACGTGGCCTGCGAGTCCTCCCTCCACACTGAAGTGGGTGCAGGGACCTCTGTTAAAGACAGCGTCCCCCCCTCCACTTCCGCTGCGCAACATCAGAAGTGCTGACAGCATAACCCCTTTTGAAGTGCATCGCTCAGCTTTCAAGAAAGGGAAATTCTTCAAAATAACCAAGAGGAACCTGCAGTAAGCAGGCCGCCATAGGGACGATTGCCAGCGGGGGCACCAGGAGGCCCTTGGCGCACTGACTGTCCTCTCCGTCTAAAGTTGGGGGCCTGAAAACGCCGTACCCTCTGAGAGGGGAAACTAGAAAACAGTGCGCCCACCGTCGGAGGCAGCCTGGGCTCTGGGTGGTCTGCGTACATGCTGGGAATGGAGCTGTCTCCCTGCGAATTCTTAACCAAAGGGCTCAAATCCGTATTATCCGCAAACTCCAGGAAGCCGGTGGACAAGAAATTAACATGAAACTGGGTCCCAGACAGCTCCCTATGGCACCTCACTGGAGGCAAGACCCGCCTTCAGGACGCGTCCCCGCTGGTCTCCCCAAATGAGGAGGAAAACATGGTGAAACATGGGCGGAGCTAGCGCACGGGAGCACAGGTTACTGCAGCCGCAGCCAGGCAAACGGAACCCCAAGAATTCCGGATGGTAGCATTTGACGGTACTCCAGGAAGTAACCGATTAAACTGATGGAAGCAGTGGAGTCAAAGCAGAGAGCAGAACTTTTATTTCAAGACAGATTTAAATTTAATAGGATGACTGTTGAGTAGTAGATTCTTTCAGCATTGCCAAGTTAGGCCTGCTAATTGTTTTCACGTGAAGTGACTCCAGAGAGAAAGTTGCCGGCTTCAAGGAGATCCCAGTTGTTTGGGGATTTTTCTTTGACAAATGAGCTTATTTTCCCTGAGGTGTGTTAGTTTGAGTGTATGAACCAGCTGCTTTACTGGATAGCTCGAGTGCATGAGGAAGTAGTTTCTCAAATTATTGTATGTGTGGTGATGAATTAGGGGCAAGAATTAGGTGATGTCAGTGGATTTCTTGACCTCAAGGCAGTGAATGAACACTACCTCCAAGTATGTAGTACTTAAGAGTTTGACCGTTAAATTCAAATCTATCTTTAAATAACAGTTCTGCTTTCTGGTTGGACTCGCATTTCTTTAATCAGTTTAGGCCGTGACTTAATGGCTTATCCCCGCATACAGTCCAAGGCAGTGTCAAGTGGTCCGAGACCGGTCCAGCCTGTGGTGCCGTCCGTGACCAGCGCCCCTCCTCTCTCACGCGCTGTCCGCCCCGCTCACGCCACGGGGGAAGAGGCCTCCATGCGAGGACGTTCAGGGTGATGGAAATGTTTGAAACTGAGATCACAGCTATGACTATGCGGCTCCGTAAATACAGGACAGTTCGTTGGAAGGCACGCTTGCAGCGGGTGCGGAAAGGAACCTGTTTACCAGAGTAATTAAAGACTATGCGGCCTTCAAGGACACGCACTCCTTTGCCTCTGCCCCGAGCCCCCTGTTGGTGAGCGCACATGTCTCTGTGTGTGTCCTCTCCTCCGAGGAGATCGCTGTGGTCGGTATTTTAAGGGAAGGATTGGATGTCACAGGAGTGGTGTGCCCGGTGCTGGGGCTGCAGGGATGAAAGGAGTCAGTCACGTTCTCTCCTCTTCCCCGCCAGGCACCGTGCTGCTCAGCACTCCCGGCTTTCCGCCGGCCCTTCTCAAACCCTTCCTGGACCCCACTCTTCTCTCTGGCTTCTTGTTGTGGGGGCAGGAAGTCCTGGCTGACAGCACATGGAAAGCAGCGGGGAACAGAACGGTAACCACGTGGTTTATCAGAACAAAGAGGAAAGCGCTCGCTTGTGGGGAGGGGGTTTAGAAGAAGGACACTGTCCGTGTTTAAGTCCAGGGCAGTGGTAGCGAACGTGTGGCACGGGTGCTGCGGCCGGCTGCTTATCATTGAAAGCTCTGAAAGGTTCGCCATCGCTGCTCTAGGACCTACCCGTCTCTGGCAGGAGAAACGTGCAGGGGAACAGGGGGAACGTGCCCAGGAACAGGGGGAATGTGCAGGGGAACGTGCTGGTGAGCAGCTGCTGCTGTGCTGTCCGAAAAGCAGGCTGTATTGTTTCTTTGTTCTTCGCATTCCAGCCCTCTGCGGCTTTGTTGTGCACTCAGGGACTCGTCCTTTGTCCTTGGCGCTGTCATTCCCCGAGGCTTATCTTTAGCTCCTGCAGGTCCTGGCCTTTAGTTTACTGGCTAGTTTACTCAGTTTACTCCGGCCCTTTTATTCCAATTCTGCCTGTCGTTCTATCTGCTGGTCTCACTGCATTGTCATCAAAGTTATTTTTTTAGAGACAAACCTGATTAAGTCACTCAGGTCCTGCATGAAACTTCCCAGTGGCTTCTTTTTTTGAGACAGGGTCTCACTCTCAAGTTCTGCCTGGCCTTGTACTCACTGTGTAGCCCAGGCTGGCCTCAAACTTGCAATGATCCTCCTGCCTCAGCCTCCGGAGTGCTGGGATTATAGGTGCGCGCCGCCACGCCGGCCCCCAGTGACTTCTTTTTGCCACAGGCTCGGGTCTAGATGTTCCATTGTCTTCCTGCTTCCAGCTGCATCCTGCTGTTATCCTGCTTTTTACCTTTTGTGCTCTACCACTCAGCCGCACTCCCAGCTCTGTCCTGCTTTTTGAACTCTCTAGCCAGAATGAAGTGTCCCAGACATTGCCTTTGCGCAGGCCTGGAATCAACTCCCGTCCCAAGGCTTGGCAGACACCACTTCAAGACTGAAGACGCACATCATTTGTTTTCCACTTTAAATTAAAAAAATTAAGATCGTACATACATAACTGTGGTACGTTTAATTATTTAAAGAACAAAGATAATATTAACACTATATAGTTTTGCCGGGTGTGGTGGCACATGCCTATAATCCCAGCACTCAGAAGGCTGAGACAGGAGAATCGTTGCAAGTTCAAGACCAGCCTGAGCTATAAAGTGAGGCCAACCTGAACTGCATAGCTAGACTTTGTCTCAAAAAGATAAAAAAAAAAACAAAACCCATTATGTATTTGTTCCTCAAGATGTCCCCCTGTCTGGTCCCTCTCCCCTCCCCAATCCAGAGGGAATGGCAGTCCTGACCCTGGCGGATGGAGTCCAAGGCCTCAGGCCAGATCTGCTGCCAGCTACATCCCCGGCCCCCTATCCTCAGCATCACATTACCCCCCACTCCTTCCTTTCCAGTGAGACCGCATATGGATTTCTCCTTAAACCATGTTGGTCAGTTTTGTCTGTATTTGAGTCTTGTATAGATGGAGTCACCGTAAGCATTTTTCTGCCTTCTTTACTAGCCAATGGGCATAGCTGCTGTGGAGTCGTTAGCTGCTGCATGTGCCACTGGATGGATGTGCCCACTGCCCGTTCTGTTGACGTTCTCGTGCGCACCTCTCGGTCCATTTGCAGATGTTTTCCTTAGGGTGTGGACTTACTGGGTCACAGGCTTGCCACCTTGAGGTTTTTTTTTCTTTGAATTGGGAATTGCACTCGGGCCCTCATGCTTGCCGGGCAGGCTCCGTGCAGCTGAGCTATATTCCTGGCCCTCACCTTCAGCTTTTCTGTTGCCTGATTTTCTCAGGCAGCGCTCCTGATCGAAGCTTCAGCAGTGCCGTGCCTTCGCCACAGGGCCTCCGCTTCCTGGGGCCTCCCAGCACAAGTAGTTCCTACACCACTGAGGACTAAATGCTAAGACAGTGACTCCTAGCCACTACATGGGGATCATTTTTTATTTTAAAATTCTTCCCTCTTCACTTACTTTTTCCTTCTTTTCTATCTCGTAGAACACTGCAAGTCCCTATAACCTTGCGTACAAGTATAATTTCGAGTACTCGGTGATCTTCAACATGGTGCTTTGGATAATGATCGCACTGGCCTTGGCTGTGATCATCACCTCCTACAACATTTGGAACATGGATCCTGGCTACGACAGCATCATCTACAGGATGACAAACCAGAAGATCCGAATGGACTGAACTGTCTTCATGCCAGATTTAGACAAGGGGTTTGGATATGGGCTGTTTTATTAAAATATAACTTTTAGTGTGGTTTAAAATAGATAGTACACTTTAAATTTTTAAAAAAAACAGCAAATTTTGTTCTCTGTTTTATGTGTGCCTATGATTATTTTTAGAGTATAGTATTGATGTAAATCGAAATATGTGATATAGATTCCATGATATGCTTGAGTACTGTGATACAGTGATTTAATAATGCAGTTTCATTCCATTTAGTACATTTGGAAATATGCACTGAAAGAAATGTAAAACATTTAGAATAGTGTATATTATTTATATTGGAAAAATGCACTGAATGTATTAGAGAAACTAATGAATGCTTCACTTGCTTGTACAGGACAGATGAAGATCCTATTTGGGCTATACCATACTATGAACCATTTGTAAATGTGTTCGATGTAAATATCTGAATGAGAGACATGATCTTAGAGCAGCCCTAAAATACTGGATGTACTCATACAGTCACTTAGTTTTGAACTGTGTCTGATGGTATGGCTATTTTTAACTTCTGCTATGAGTTTGGTGACCTGTGTCTAGTAAGGACATTAAAAATATGACAGTGATTTAAGAAGAGACTGGCTACGTGGCATGTAGATGCCCGTGATTACACAGGAAAAACAAATCTGTCGGGGAGCATCTAAAGCATGAATCTAAACTATTTTTATTTCAGTAACTTTCAAAAGCCCTGTAAAGTTACTACGGCCTGTGGTGCAACTATATTCTGTACAAGATAGGTGAAAATAGATGAACTGTACTTTTCACATGGAAGCGGACCAACGTCTATAATGAATGACAAATAAAGTTAACGTGTCGCAGAACCCTAAGTAAACAGGCTTTTCTTTCATCAGCATTGGCTGTTTTGTTATGCAAAATGATTCCCGGGCTTCCTTAACACTTGCTTATTCTCGCTGCCGCCTTCCTGCTACCCGTGTAAGGGGAAGGCATTTTAATTACCAATTCTTGCTATTGAACGCAGGCTTAAGTTTTTAATAAAAAATAGCTGGGAAAAATGATTTTAAAAAATAATAAAATGATGAATAAACAAGTAATTGGTTGGAATATGAAGGACTTTCTCAGGGTTTTAGATTACCATTTTACTGCCTAAGAGACACGGAGAATTGAAACCTCACGCTTACGTAGCGAAGGCATTTCTTGAGCACTGCAGCCCTCCCCGTAGGAGCCTTCCTGGGGTTCGCGCTGGCTGTTTCTGCGGCTGCTCTGGAAACATCGTGAGCCCCTTCCTAAGTAACCCGGAGTTCGGCAGGTGCCAGAAGGTGCTAGTGTTTCCCTACCACTTGCTGTAAGGCGGCTTTCACAGTCATGTATTAAAACTGCACGTACTGGAGGAAATGTGTTTCGTTTCCTGTGACACTCCAGTACAAGGAAGACTGATTCTCAGTGTCACGGGGGAGAAAGCTGACCTTGTTCCACAATCCAGGGTCTCCCCCCAACTCTGCGAGATTTATGGGGATGAGGGGTTCTTAGCTGCCTAGCCCCAAAACAGTTCCCACGCTGACCCCCGCGGCCGCAAACAGGGCCTGCAGATGGGAGCGGGACTGTGACGCTGCAGGCAGTTAGAACCCGTCTTTCTCTCACACGTACACAGAAGTTAGATTGTTGTGGTCGAATATGAAGGAACCCAATGCCTTTGTAATTTAAAACTGAGGAGGCTTTGAGTTCTAGGGAAGAGAAAAAATCCCATCACAGCACTGTACGGTAAATGGCATCAGCACCCTTCTATGTTAGGCAGAAAGCAATTAAAATAAATGTCCTGCCAAGATTAGTATACCTGTTGCTGATGATTTGCTCTTAAATTAAGTCTAATTTGTTCAGGAACATGAATCACCACGTCGGGATTTGTGTGAGCAGCAAAGGCAGAGAAAGCCCCTCGCTTCCTGTCGGATCGGTCGTGTTCTAGGTTCATAAAATAGTTGAGATTCTCTGTGTAGTAGGTACTGGTTATGGCCTAACTGTACAGGAATATAGAACTGATTTTTATTTTCTTAGGCTGTTTCTTTTGAAGGAATGATAATCCATTTTCGTTGATACCAAGTCATATGGAAGGAAGACAGAAGCCTTTTTTTTTGAGACAGGGTCTTACTCTGTTGCCCAGGATGGCCCCAAACGCCTCAACTCAAGCCACCCGCCTGTCTCAGCACCATGGAGCTGGGACTACAGGTGCACGCTACAGTGCCTGGTAAGTGTAAATGTCCTTTTTTTTTCTTTTGAGATAGGGTCTCGCCGTACAGTCTAGGCTGGCCTCAAATTCAGGCCTGCCGTGTGCTGGGGTTATAGGTGTGCTCCACCACGCCCAGCAGTGTACTTACTTAATGGATGCTTAAACAATTGCGGTGGCACCAAGGCTTCTAACCTTGGATTTGGCTGTTTTTCCTGCCCCTAGAGAAGGCCATTAGTAAGTAGCATAGTGACTGATAGTCACACACATGAATTTAGGTCGTCACTTCCCCATTTACCAGCTGAAGAATCTTGAGCAATTCCCCCCAAGAGGTTTTGTTGGTTTGGTTTGGTTTTTTTGGAATACTGGAACTTGAACCCAGGGTCTTGCTCATGCTAGGCAAGCAATATACCACTGAGCTACACCTATGGTCCTTTTTTTACATTTTTATTTTGAGACAAGGTCCTGCTAAGTTACCCAGACTGGTCTTGAACTTGTGGTCCTCCTGCCTCGGCTTCTAAGTAACTGGGATTACAGGTGTGCACCACTATGCCTGACTCAGTTTTTAATCTATATAATGGGACTATTAACAGCCCAGGTTTGTGAAAATTAGTGCTCAGTGGGAAGAACAAATTCTAAAGTTTGCAATCACCCACCTTACAAGGTGCAAGGTCTAGCTAAAAATTTAAAGTCCCCTAGTGACAGAAGTTAGTGCCATTAATAGGCCAGATGTGGTGGTGCACCCCTGTGATTCCAGCACTCAGGAGGCTGAGGCAGGAGGATCACTGAGTTCAAGACCAGCCTGGGCTACAAAGTGAACTCAAGGCCAGCCTGAACTACATAGTGAGACTTTTTTTTAAAAAAAAAAAAAAAAAAAACAGGGCAAAAGGTCAGATTACTTTTATGAATAAGAAAATGTGGCTAGCCTCAGATTTCTCAGGAGTATTGCTGCAAGACTGGAGCAGCATTTTCAAGAAACGCAAGGAAGGAAGGTGCAAGCCAAAGGCTTTGTATCTGGTCTGTGTGCCCTTTAAGAATCACAGATACAGAAAACAACTTCCTATCCTGAAACTCTTCACAGACACAAGTAGAGCTGAAAGGTGAAAAGACATCACAGTGGGTTCTTTTGGATGGGAACATACAGCATCTCTGTATCAGGGTTCTCCAGAGAATACACATACACACACACACACACACACACACACACACTTTAAGAAATCAGCTCACATGATGGCTAAGTCGGGCCAACAAGCGGGACATTCAGGCTCTACTTCAATGTTTTGGTCTCAGGCAGAATTCTTTCTATCAACCATCCCAACTTGGGGTGCAGTTCAGTGTGAGAGTGCTTGCCTTGCATGGGCAAGGCCCTGGGGTCCACCCTGGTACTGCAGAACAAAACACAAAACAAAACTCAAGAGTCACTGGATTAAGGGCCCATCCTCCCCAAGGGTGACCCCATCTTAACTAAGTATGTCTGCAACAGCCCTGTTCTGAAATAAGGTTACGTTCTGAGGTTGGGGGTGGTTTAGAGCTTCAACATATATTATGGGCCCGAGTTCAACCTAAAAATATAATGTGTTAACAAATGTAATGCAACCCAAGTTGTTAATAAATTTAATGCTATTCATTAGCAACTTTAATGCAATTCAAATGAAAAATAAAAACATTTCAATGTGGCTGGGGATTTAGCTCAGTGACACAGCGCCTGCCTGGCAAGCACAAGGTCATGAGTTCAATTCCTGGTACCCGAAAAAAAACAAAAACCAAAAAAAATTTCAATGTGACCAGATGAGTTGATTCTAAAGTTTATATGAAAAACTAAGAAAACACTGAGAAGTTGCAAGAGTGAGCTAAGCTGGCTCTCCCAGTTTGTAAAGCATACTGGAAACTCTCTGACTAAAACAGTGCTCAAGTCGATGGGGTGCGGACAACACATGCGGAACTTAGGCTGTGATGAAGGTCACCTCTCCAATCATTAGGCAGAGATGGGCTTTTTAATCAACGATGGTAGGGCAACAGGGTACGCGGGAAAAGATAAAGCTACATCCATACATCCCAGCGTACACAAGAATAAACTAAAGGGATTCGAGATCTAAATTTTGAAAAAGCCACTATACAGGTACCAGAAGAAAAACATTTTCCTATAGTTGGGGTGCAGGAACAGCATTTCTAACTTGGCTCAAAATCCAGATGCCATAGGGAAGCAGGAGACGGAGGGAGGAGGGGGAGGGGAAGAGAAGAGGAAAGAGTGAAGATGTGTCATGTGATGTCACGTCTGCCGACTCCCCATGCTAAGTACTGTACACATGCGCCAAGTATAGATTCAGATGCAGTAAAAGAAAATGTGGATAAATTTGACCTAAACTTCAAAACATTTTTGTAACTTTATTGAGCCATTTCTATACATTATATAAGTTATTTATTTATTTATTTTGTCTTTTTGAGACAGGGTCTCGCTATGCAGTTCAGGCTGGCCTTGAGCTCACTTTGTAGCCCAGGCTGGTCTCAAACTCGCAATGACCCTCCTGCCTCAGCCTCCCAAGTGCTGGCTTTAGCCACCATGCGCGGCTAAGTTACTTATTCTAAGAGTACAACAGAATGATGTTTTGGTAAATTTACCAAGTTGTGCAGTATCACTATAAAATTCCTTTAGAGCATTTTTATCATCCCAATAACATCCCTCATGCAAATCTATCTTTCTTTCTTTGGTAGGGGAACTGAACTCGGGACCTTGCACTTGCCAGGCAGGCGCTTGTGCCGCTGAGCTATATCCCTGGCTAGTTTTCTTTCTTCTCCTCCTTCTCCCCTCCCTTTTCTTTTTCTTTTCTTTCCAGTACTGAGGTTTGAACTCAGGGACTTGGTCTGAGCTACAAAATGCTGCTGTTACTATTTGTATAAAGTTCTGTATAGACACATGGTTTTCTTTCTCCTCAGTATATACTCAGGAATGGAACTGTTGGATCATACGACAACCCTATGGGGTTTTTTTGAGACATGGTCTCACTGTGTAGCCCAGGCTGGCCTTGAACTCACGGCGATCCTCCTGCCTCAGCCTCCTGACTATTGGGATTACAAGCATGCCCCACCATGCCCCACAATAATCCCATGTTTAATCTCTATGTTTAGCCTCCTTTTTTTGAGACAGAGTCTCAGTAAGTCGCTAATTAATTCCATTTCTTACTTTGACCTCTATCTAGGTAATCACTCTTTCCCTCTATAGATCTACCCTAAATGAAATAGTGGTCTCCTTTGTCTGGTTTCTTTCAGTGAGCAGGATTTTCAGGTTCATTGATGTCACAGATATGTCTGCAACTCATTCCCTTTTATTGTTCAGTAGCATCCCTTGTATGGATATACCACATTTTGCTTATTCATTCACAATGTAGGGTTCTTATAACATTACTCAGTGTTGCTGAAAAATGCCTTTAAACCAGTCATCGTGGCGCATGCCTGTAATCCCAGTACTCAGGAGGCTGAGGCAGGAGGATTGCCGTGAGTTCAAGGCCAGCCTGGGCTACATAGTTCAAGGCCAGTTTGAACTACAAAGTGAGACCCTATACCAAAAAAATAAATAAATAAATAAATAAATAAATACCTTTAAAGAGACAAAAGCCAAATGGAAAACTAGGATAAAATAATTACAACATA